GTGAAGGCAAACATGAGTATATGGGTGGATAGATGGGTGGACAGGCTGAACTAGTAGGTATGTCTTAGAAGCGAGGAGTGCACCCAAGACCATATATAGGACTGGCAGACAGTGGTCCTATAAGTTTATGTGAGTGATCAGAATTCCCAGGTGTATAGTAGAGCTGACAGGGGGCAAAGTTGTGGTCACTGCTTGGTCATAGCCAGCTACCCAGAGGGACTGAGTAGTTGAACCTGCGGGCTTTGGACCATTGTCGCAGGGGACATCAAGCTCAATTGGCATAACATACTATACAAAACATTGTTCCACCTCCTACTTTGGCAAGTAGCAACTGGGATCTTAAAAGGTAGCAAGCTGCCATCTAGATGCAACGATGGGTCTCTGCTCGTCCAGAGCAAAGAAGAATGAAGAAAATCAAAATTCATGGAAACAATTAGTCCTAGCAACTGATACACCATCCGATCTGCAGCCTAAACGACTATGAGACCAGAAGAACTAGATGGTGCCCGGCTACCACTGTCATCCACTTGGAAGGGGATCTATGTAGGAGATCCTGGATAGAGAGGGAGAACAATGTGGAACAAAACTCAAAATCATTTGGAGGAAAAAAAGAAGGGGGGGATGGACGAGGTTTGTTGGTCCGATAGAGCCTGGTGGAACCACTGAGACTATGGCCCCTAGCTGCCCTTCAGGTCTGGAATTGAACACACACCTGTCGTTTCCAGCCAAACAAAAGACAGGCATATGAGTCGAACATTTACCTCAAGTAGATACTCGCCTGGGAGAGAACAATCATGGGAGAACGAAGGGCTGCTTATGCACAGGGAGACAGCTCAGGGGGCATGGATGAAGGGATGGACACAGGGAAGAGGTAACTATGGGGAGGAAGTGGGAGGGGAGCTGTTGCATTGTGGTAAACTGTGGTCAATGTCATGAGACAAAGTATGTATGAACTACTGTATGGAAAGTGAATTTGCTCTGTAAATCTTCACCCAAATCACAATTAAAAAAAAAAAAAAGAATTTCCAGGTATATAGTAAAGCTCACAAGGGACAAAGTTGTAGTCACTTCTCGGCCATAGTCAGCTACCCAGAGGGAGCGAGGAGTTGGACCCTGTGGGCTTGGGACCATGGTTGCAGGGGACATCAAGCTCAACTGGCATAACATACTACACAAAAACATTGTTCCACATCCTACTTTGCAAGTAGCAACTGTGACCTTAAAAGCTTGTAAGTGGCCTTCTACATGTAATGATGGGTCTCTCCTCATCCAGAGCAAAGAATGAAGAAAACTAAAGATGCATGGAAACAATTAGTCCAAGGGACTGGTACACCATGTGATCCTCAGCCTATACAACTATGAGACCAGAAGAACTAGATGGTGCCTGGCTACCACTGTCAACCACTTGAAGGGGGATCTATGTAGGAGATCCTGGATAGAGTGGGAGAACAATGTGGAACAAAACTCAAAATCACCAAAAAAAAAAAAAAATGGGGACCAGGTATGCTGGTCTGATAGACCCTGGTGGACTATGAGACTATGGCCACTAGCTGCCCTTCACGTCTGGAATTGAACCCGTTCCTGTGGTTTCCAGCCATACAAAAGACAGACATATGAGCTGAACATTTACATTAGGTAGACAGACTTCTTAAAACTGGAGAGATCAATCATGGGAGAATAGAAGGGCTGTGTATGCACAGCTCTGGGAGGGCAGGAGTGCATGGGAGGGAAGGACACAGGGAGGAGGTGGCAATGGGGAGGAGGTGGCAATGGGGAGGAAGTGAGAGGAAAACTGTTGCATTGTGGGAGACTGCAGTCAATGTCATGAGACAAAGTATGTATCAACTGCTGTATGTAAGATGAATTTGCTCTCTAAACTTTCACCCAAATCACAGTAAAATTAGAAGAAAAAAAAGAAAGGCATTGGCTTGGAGTTGATAAGGAAGCTATTTGGATAAGGGGATGGAAATTTATTAGTCAAGATTTAACATACATTTTTAGTTTTCTTTACTAAAATCAGTGCTGTAGTGAAATATACTCTGGTTTAGGCCTGTTTGACATTATTTCCCCCTGCATTGTTTCCTCCTTGTTTTTGCAGAAATGGAATTATGTACAGCTCAAAGTCACAGGAAATCCTCCATGGGAAACTATGTTCCAAAGGGAAGACTCCACGATAGAGAAGGAAGTTACTTGCATGTCTTTGGTAATGTTCATTCAAACCAGTTTTCATTATATCTCAATGGACAAACCTAATAACACAAATTCATTCACAAGAAGGTAATAAATTGAAATAAGTGTCTTACTGAGTTCCTCTTCTGGGTCTAAATGTCTTTCATTAGGAATTTACAGCACCCTGCTACCACATAACCTCTCCATTTCTATTCACTCGATCAAACTGTAGTCCTATAGCAATGGAGATGAAGGTTTAATTTAGAAGTATGGAAAACACTCTACTTATCTTTTGAGTATTTTATCACACATTATGTACTTCAGTTTTTTATTTCTCCAATGACTGCAGAGCTTGGGCAAGTCTAATACTTTTCTTGTAACAAGAATGCCCAGCATAGGGATAGCCATGACTGGCCTATTTTTTTTCACACAAGCCAGGCCCTAGCTGTTTTATGGTCCAAATAATGATATTCTGAGTGCTAATCTTGTGTAAGGCACTATGGCACTATGGTACACACAGTAACATACTGAAGTAACTCCTTATACATAGTGAAGGAGTAAGAAAAATATGTGATCTACCACACACAATAGCGGGCCTTTCATCCTCCCCAGCTTAACATATCTTACCAGTTAGGAACTATGATGCCAAGATTTTATTTCTTTCCCTGAAATCATATATCACTCTATAGGAGCTCTGGTGGTATAGTGCCTACAAAGGCATTTGACTGCTAACCAGAAGGCTGGCAGTTCAAACCAACCAGCCACTCCTTGGAAGGAAGGTTGGGAAATCTACTTCTGTAGTGATACCATCTTGGAAAACCAAGGAGAGGTTGCTATGAGTCAGATCCGATTTGATGGCAGTGAGTCTGGTTTTTGGAGGTGCCAACTATTTAATTAAATGCTTTTCAGAGGAATTTTGTTAAAATACTTTAAGTACACTTGAAATCTACAAAGATTTCTATATTTGTACTACCCAGGTAAACATCTATACAGCAGAACCAGAGAACTAGATTGCAGGAGATTATCAAGAAAACTCTAAATTTTAAGCCCACAAACTAGGATTCCATTCCCTCATGTTGCTGACTGTACTCATCAATTGCTGTAAAATAATTATCCTCAAACACAATTTTCAGCACTGATTACTTAGCTGCCTAAAAGAAAATTGCTACCCCTGTGCCATATTGTATGGAACTAACATCCAAAGCATTCCTGACTCTTCACCTCATTCCTAACCCCACAACCCAGCCCACATCCTCAACATACACATCAGCCAAGCACTTCAGCTCAATCATTGTCCTTGGTGCCTCTGCTCCAGCCTTTCTTCGTTACCTGGCATACTCTTTCAGTCCTGTGCAGTTACAGCTACTATTTTCTTTAAGTGGCGGCTCCAAATTAATTTTCTTATGGAAGTGTTCTATAATTTCCCTCACAATTTAAACATGTATTGAACATCTGCTATATGCCAGACACTGTTATGTAATTTTGCCTATCTAGACTCACCAGTTTTGGTGTCTTCTCTGGTCTCCTCTACCCAGCCCTGGTCACAGCCTGACTTGGACCCTGTTTCATGGTCATATGGATTACCTCAGATGTTTACTGGCACAAAGTTTCAGTAATTTGATATCCTGATTAAATTATAGTCCTATAGCAGATATTAAAAAAAAAAAAAAAAATGAACATCGAACATAGCCCGAGGGGAGAATTTTGGATAAGTCTTGCGCCAGAGGTCATCTTGGTAAAGAAGTCAATGGACGTGGGTAACTAAAGTTGGGAAGCCTGAGACCGCAACTGGAGAAAGCATGAGGAAGTGGCGTGCGTGTGATCACAGGGTTGAATGAAACCCCAAAGAAGGGGTCTCGGAAGGTTGGGGCAGGGATAGGTGCCCCAAGTAAATTTCTCTCAGGGCCCGAAGAGGGGCGGGGGCAGGTCTGACTCACCTGTGCGGGCAGTGAGAGAGTCAGAGGCTGTGTTGAAAATCAGGTGACGGTAGCGTTGGAAGGCCTGGTCTAGGACCGAGCAGCCCGGCTGCGCTGCGGAACCGTCGTGGTACTGAAAGTCGAAGTTCTTCGGTAAAATGGCGTACCGCTGGTCAGAGCTTTGGATGTAATGGGGCCAAGGCCATAGAGCCGTCGCTGGCCTAGCGGACGCTGCCGCCAGCAGCAGCGAAAACCAAATCGTGGAGCCTGCCATTGCCCACTGGTCCCTTCTCCCCAAGCGGGGTGGGCCACGTGAGTGCCTGGTCAGGTGAGCGGCGCCCGCGTGACAATCGGCACGTCACGTGACTCCGGGCAGCTACTCTCCAGAGACCCCCAGAAACTGACTAGCGGTCTTTTGGTTCCTGGTATCAACGTGGAGTTCCCGCTGCGTGCCACCGATTTGTGCTGTGCATCCGCTGTGGCCCCAGTCCTCAGGAGGCTCGCGGGCTTGGTGAAGTTTTAAATAATTTATCACCACAGATGTCATGCTTACGATAATAGTTGTATTGAAATGGATTCAGATGGTAGTAACGCAAGGTGGGGATGTAGAGTGAGCAAGCATCAAGTTTCTCTGAGAAGGGGCTTAGAGGCTGAATCTTCATCTATGCCTGTGAGTTTGCCAGGCTGACTAAGAGAAAAGAATGTTCTTGGGCTAGGTGAAGCAGAAAAACGGATTAAAACCACAAGCTGTTGTGACGTGAAATGCTGTGGGTCAGGAAGGTGGAGTCCGAACTGCTCTGCTGGAGAGGGGAGTTCTTGTGATCTTATGACTAGAAATAATGTTCAGCCTTGAGAGCAAGCTTGAGACATCCCATTGCCTGCCGCCCATATGGGCTCTAACCTTCATGGTTGATAATGTATTTCCTAGTTAACAACTCCCGACCCCCTCAACCCCCCAAAACCTCGACATACAGCTGTTTATTTACTGCAAACAATAAGATACTGCTGGAACTTTGGGTAAGGAGTCTGGTGGCGCAGTAGATAAGGCACTTGGCTTATAACTGGAAGGTCAGTGGTTCAAACCCACCAGTTGCTCTGCGAAAGGAAGACTGGGCGATCTACTTCTGTAAAGATTTACAGCCTGGGAAACCCAGTGGGGGTCGTTATGAGTTGGAAATGACTCGATGGCAGTGAGTTTGGTTTGGTTTTGGTTGGGACTTTGGGTGCAAGATGGAGAATGCCCAGAGATAATTACAGGGGTCTGATTCTGCAGGGACTTGTCCAAGAGAATGTCCAAGAGTCAGGACTTTATTCTGTGGGCAACTAGGAAGTCATCCTAGAGATTTGCATGTCATAAGTTTCATGTTGTATAATTGGATGGATAAAAAAAGCAATTAAAAAGTCCTTTTTGCTGGAGGTGGAGAATGATGAGAGCCTGAACTACGGTGATGGGGAGGGAAGAGAGCTATAGATCCAGCAAACAGTGGGTATGTTGTTGTTGTTGTTGTTGTTATGTGCCATGGAGTCGACCACGACTCATAGCGACCCCTCCCTGGGTTTCCGAGCTGTATCACTACGGAAGTAGCATTGCCCAACCTTCCTAACAGTGGATATAGATAAACAGTATTCAAGAGAGCCTTGAGAAATGATCAGTGAGAACTCAACACATACTTAATAAGTAAGTGACCCTATATTTGTTCACCACAGTATCCCTGACATAGTTGAATCCTTGATTGCAAAAGGAGATAAAAAATAACCTTATTGTGTGGCATTATTTGCTTACTAAGTAATTTGTTTTCATAAGGTTTTCACTGGCCAGTTCTTTGAGAAGTAGATGGTCCCTTCCTTCTTCCCAGTCTGTCTTAGTCTGGAAGCTGTAAGAAGGAAGGAATCCACAGAGTCACTGTACCAAAAAGAATTGGTCGATGTTTATCTATTTCAAGAGGTGGCATATAATCAAGAACCAATGGTACTGAAGGAAGAAATCAAAGCTGCACTGAAGGAAATGGTGAAAAACAAGGCTCCAGGAATTGACGGAATATCCTTTGATATGTTTCAACAAACAGATGCCATGCTGGAGGCACTTACTCATCTATTCCAAGAAATTTGGAAGACAGCTACCTGGCCAACTGACTGGAAGAGATCGCTGTTTGTACTCCTTCCAAAGAAAGGTGATACAAAAGAATGTGGAAATTATCGAATAATATCATTAATATCACATGCAAGTAAAATGTTGCTGAAGATAATTAAAAAATGATTGAAGCAATATATTGACAGGGAACTTCCAGAAATGCAAGCTGGATTCAGAAGAAGATGTTGAATGAAGGATATCATTGCTGATATCAGATGGATCTTGGCTGAAAGCAAAGAATACCAGAAAAATGTTTACTTGTGTTTCATTGACGATGTAAAAGCATTTGACTGTGTGGATCATAATAAATTATGGATAACATTGAGAAGAATGGGAATTCCAAACACTTAATTGTAAAACCTGTACATAGACCAGGTTTAAAATCAGGAAGAGAGTGTGTCAGGACTGTATCCTTTCACCATACTTATTCAATCTGTATGCTGAGCAAATAATCCAAGCAATTGGACTGTATGAAAAAGTATAGGGCATCCGGTTTGGAGGAACTCATTAACAACCTGCAATATGCAGATGACACAATCTTGCTTGCTGAAAGTAAGAATGACTTGAAGCACTTACTGATGAAGATTCAAGACTACAGTCTGCAGTATGGATTACACTTCAACATAAAAAAATAAAAATCCTCACAACTGGACCAATAGGCAGCATCACGATAAATGGAGAAAAATTTGAAGTTGCCAAAGGTTTCATATTACTTGGTTCCACAATCAACACAGACAAACAAACAAAAACCAAACTCACTATCCTGCTTATTGTATATTACCTTTCCCATCACCCAAGTTAATATGTGTCTACCCTCTATTTAACGGTTTACTCTCCCTTCCCCTCTCACTCCTAGTAACTGTCAAAGAATATTTATTTTTGTGTGTAAACCTTTTCTTGACTTTTTACAGTAATGGTCTCATACAATATATATCATTTTAGTTGGCTGTTATTTTTCGGGGGGGTGCGTGGGGCTGAGAATCAGGTGTTTGTGCTGGGTGAAGATGAAAAGCTCGGTAGCCCAGTCCCTTGCCTGAAGGAACATGAGAGAAGGACAGGAATGTGGGGAGCAAAGGCTCAGCACAGGAGTCCCCAAGCTTCCTTTGCCTTCAGCTGGCAGAGAAGTGGGCCTTCAGGAGAGCAAACTGTGCAGTTGTGTTGTTGTTGTTGTTATTTGCCATCAAGTCAGACCCGACTCATAGTGACCCCTCCTTGGGTTTCCGAGGTGGTATCACTACGGAAGTAGATCACCCAACCTTCCTTTGAGCTTGATAATGGATGAGTAACAAAAATAATGACTCAGATAACAGTGTATATTATTTTGTTCTTTTCTTTATTAAAGACAGCTTGTTAAATGAATAAAAAGATAATTTAATTTTCATATCTATAGCTGTTAATAAAATTAACTTACATACCACAAAAAAAATTCTCTGACAATGTGTCCAGATTTTTGATCCATGATGTAGTCATGAGTATAGGAACAGCGAGGGAGCTGAGTGCCTCCAGGCAGACTTTCTGGCAGAGTGGGGTGTCTCCATGCAGTTATTGGTGGTGATAAAGAGCTCTGCAAAACTTTCCCAAGCAGGAAAGAGGCCAGGCTGAGGGGCTGAGAGAGAAAGAGAGAGAGAAAGGGGTCTGCCTGGGGGCACAGCCAAGAAGTTGTCCTGAGCAAAGAACTGTATCTTGAGTCATTCCTGATCCTGTTACTTCCCTAATAAACCTCACAACTGTGAATATAATCTAAAACCCACGTGAAAGTGTTCACTACAGATCAGTAAGTAAGCACAAGTAAGCCCATGCTTACCTTACTTATTGGGTAATCTACCCCTGCTGCTGCAGTTTTCACACCACTGGTGTTACAGCTCTCTTTGTCTTCTGGGTCTAGGAGATTCTCTGTGCAGGGATTTAGGTCTAAAGGATGCACTCCACTCCCAGCTCTTCTTGGTGGTAGTGAAGTAGTTTCCAGCTTCTGGGATTGGCTCATTTTAAGCCTTTTGTTGTTGTTGTTATGTGCCGTTGAATCGGACCCAACTCATAGCGACCCCTCCTTTGGTTTCCAAGGCAGTATCACTACAGAAGTAGATTGCCCCATCTTCCTTCCGAGGAGTGGCTGGTGGGTTTAAGGCTTGTGGGATAGCAAAACTGAACAATCCCCTCATTAGGAATCCATACACCTTATTTGTATGGTCTCATCCCTGCAAGTGTTCCATGCACCTTATTTTCATTATTACCAGGCTGTCCAATCCCCTTGGTGGGCCACAAACACCTTGTTTGCATAGTCCTACACAATCATTTTGTGGGAGTTATAAGACCATGCATGGCTAGAAGGGCCCTATTAAGTATTAAATGCACTGCAGACAGGAGCTCTGCTGGTGTAATGCCTAAGGCATTTGACTGCTAACCAGAAGCCTGGCGGTTCAAACCCACCAGCCACTCCTCAGAAGGAAGAATAAAGATACAACCTTGGAAACCCAAGGAGAGGTTGCTATGAATCTAAATCAACTTGGCGGCTTTGCTTTTTTTACTTGCTCTGCAGACAGTGACCCCTCAATCCTTAGGGTGACCAGAAAAGGCCTGGGGCAGCTAAACATCCTGGCCAGTTATCTCCTGCCAAGAGCAGTGTCCTTTATGTATGCTGTGATGTGAAAGACTTTGGGAAGCACTGGCTTAGATATCACCTCTTCTTGGGTGCTTCCATATAACACCCTCCTTTTATATTCTAAAGGAGCTCTGGTGGTGTAGTGGTTAAGACATTTGGCTGTTAACCAAAAGGTGAGAGGTTTGAACCCACTAGCTGCTCCACGGAAGAAAGATGAAGCAGTCTTCTTCCAGAAAGATTTACAGCCTTAGAAACTCAATAAGAGTTGCTAAGAGTAGGAATCAACTTGATAACAATGAGTTTTGTTTGGTTTGGTTTGGTTTTAGTCTCTTTGTCTGTCTGTGTTCCCCACAGATCACATGCTGAATGTATTATTGTTAGTTGCCACTAACTTAGCTATAACTCATGGTGACAATATGTAAAACATTGCCCAGTCATGCCATCATCATATTTATTGTTATGTTTGAGCTCATTGTTGTGACTATTGTGTCAATCCATCTCATTGAGGGTCTCCCTAGTTTTTGCTGAACTTCTGCTTTATGAAATAGGATGTCCCTTTCTAGTCTTTCCTGATAAAGTGTCCTAAGTAAGTGAGCCAAAGTCTTGCCATCTTTGCTTCTAAGGCCTATGTCTTCTAAGACTGATTTCTTTGTTCTTCTGGAAGTTCATGGTTTGTTCACTGTTCTTTGCCAACACCCCAATTCAAATACATAAATTCTTCTGCCTTCTTTTTCAGTCAGCTTTTGAATGCATATGAAGGGACTGAAAAGATCTATGCCTTGGGTCAGATACACCTTAGTCATCAAAGTGACATCTGTTACATCTTTTCTTTTCAAAACCTCAGAGAGGTCTTTTGCAGCAGATTTATGCATGCTGAATGAGTGGTGTCTTTGCCACAGTTTTATCCAGAGATCTCTGGAAAATCTAGTGTAACACTAGGGAAGCAAGTAATTATGTTTAGGTAGCCCAAACATCGTATAAAGAGAAATACTGAGAAAAATAATGTCAGAAAGGTAGGTTGAAGCTGGGTCATGAAATAAGGAAAGCAGGAAATAATTGAGCACAGTACTGTGTACCTGGCATATATTATTCTTGTCTCACAACAGCTCTGTGCAATTGAACATTATCCACATTTACAGATGAGGAAATAGGCTCTGAGAATTAAAATAACTTGACCAAAGTTCCATAAATAGTTGGTAGAACGAATATTGAGACCTAGGTTTTCTGTCCCAAAGTCTACTGCTTTTTACATGTGGCGTACTTCCTTGAAAGCTAGGCTGAAGGTTTATTGGTATTTTATTCTTGAGTCCATGTGAAGGCAGTGAAATTATTTTAGCTGAGGTGTGACAAGGCCAGAGTTGAGATCCACTAAACTAGTTCATTAACATATGTAGAAAGTCAAATGGGGAATGCCAGAGGCAGGGAAATTAGCTCTGAGGCTATTGGCTAAGAGCCTGTGAACAACTTAACCATCCTGGTGTACTATAGGATCAGAAAATGTAGATCTGAATTCACAGGGGGTTGATAGCTTCATTTCTCTTCTCTCACCCCTCCAGCCAGACCAGTGAGTCTTAAGCTTTGTTCAACATGCCATAATTTACTGAAAAGGAGATTGCCAGAATTGTGGGGTTTTTTTTTTTTTTTGATGGAATACTATGCAGCACTAAAGAATAATGAA